AAAAAAAAAAAAAAAAGTGCAATCAAAAGAAACCAACTCAAGATGATCCAGAAAGTGCGATTAGCAGTGACAAAGGACCTGTATCCAGATTAAAAAAAAACACACAAAAACTTCAGCCCAGCCAGGTGTGACTCAATGGATGAGCATCGACCTAGGATCCAGGTAATCAGGGTTCGATTCCCAGTCAGGGCACATGCCCGGGTTGCGGGCTCGATCCCCAGTTGGGGCATGCAGGAGGCGGCCGATCAATGACTCTCTCATCATTGATGTTTCTATCTCTCTCTCTCCCTCTCCCTTCCTCTCTCTGAAATCACTAAAGACATATTTTAAAAACAACAAAAAAAAACCCTTCAAAATAAAAAAATATAACTCAGTTTTAAAAAAATAAGCAGAAGATGTGAACAAACACTTCACAATGGAAGATTTACAATGGCCAATAAGTAGGTAAAACAGTGCTCAACATCTGTCATCAGGGAGATGCAAGTTAATACCACAATGAGAAGTCACGTCACGCTCCCTAAAATGGCTCCAAAAAAAACCCAGATGGACAGCCAGGGCTATATGTGAATCAGCCAGGATTCCCACACATTGCTGAAGTGAATGTAAACTGTACAACATCTTGGAAAAAAGTTTGCCTGTTTTTCATAAGTTAACCATACACTGAGCTGCTCCATTCCAAATATCTATAAAAGGGCTTACAGCAAATATTCAAAGCAGTTTTATTCACAGTGGCCACACTGAGATAACCCCAAAGCCTCCAAACAGGAGAACGAATAAACGAATTGTGGTAAATTCATACGATGGAATTTGGCAATAAAAAGGGGTGAACTATTACTGATCCGTGGAACAACACGGATAAATTTCATGGACAGTATAGTGAGCGAAAGGAGCTGGACACAAATGAGTGCACACTTTATGATTCCATTTATATGGAGATTAAGATAAGATAAAACTAAGATTTAAAAAAATCGGAACATCACGACAGAAACAAGTAATAAAAAAAAATATGGTGGGTCAAATAGTTTAGACTCAATATGGAAAGGAAACAGAAGTTTGCTTCAATTTTTGAAGCAGAAAAATGCAAAGTAAGATTTAATACTTCCTAGAGATTAAATTTTACCTTTTAAAATTTACTTTTAAGTAAAAACTTCTTTAGAATGTGTCTAATGTGATTTGCTTTGGAGATCTAGCTCAACACAGGTGAAATGCGTATGACAGCTTTTAGCGCAAATGAAGATAAAGGTACGGCTATAGCTTGGAGACAATATAACTTCTTTAAAAGTGGCTCTGATTTCAAGTAAAAGAACAAGTGAAAACAGATGTTAGAGGACCGAAGGTTTACAATGTGAATAATCTTAGCACAGATTAAAATATAGGATTAATAGCTGTGAAGGATGTTCAATATCTGATACAATGTTGGACTTCCTTCAAATAAGGGGTTTTACTTTGCTATTCACTTCTTATTCTGGCTACAGTAGCTGCCCTATGCCAAGTTTTCTATTAAAATACCTTTACTATATGGGGGGAAAGTTCCTAGTAATAAAATAAATTCCAGCACGCATTACCTTGTCCTGAAGGGTTTGCTGCCATCTTCCTATTTTCCGTTTTAACTATGTTCGGTGGCAGTTGGTCAGGATTTTCCAATCACCTGTAAAAAATGTGTACATGCATACAAAACGCACCATACTTTAATAACGAATTAAAAGTCGTCAGGAACAGCTAGCTTCCTACAACGAAACGTTTGCAGTTTCTCCATCTCTTCAGAAACATACATCTGGGAAGCACAGGGACTTAAATCACAAACTCTGCAAGCTCACGGTTTTAATTAGAGCGTGGAGGTTAAATCTTTATTCTTGCGAATGTTCACACCAACATTTAGCACTACTGTCTTTAATATATCATTAGGTGGCTTACCAAGTACCACCAAATGTATCAATCAGCTGATAACATCAATACCATCAGAGTTAGGAAGGAAAATCGCTCATCTCTGGTGCCTCTCGATTCACTTTAAAAAAAAACGTACCCAGCAACAACTGTGTGCACCGAAAGCTAAAAAGGGAAACGAAGGCAGATCCCAAATAAGCAGCACCCTACTCCCGCCCTCCAGGAACAGCGGAGTCTCTCCGGAGCAGCCATACTGAGAAAGTTTAAGAGACGCGCTCTTTAAAAGGCGTGAACACTGCTCGGGAAGCAGAGAGGAACCGGTTGCAGGGGGTGATGAGGGTGCCGCCGGGGGAGCCCGGGCAAGTGCGAGGGGCTAGCACACAGATGGAGGTTTTCAACGAAACATGGTTAGGTGTCTCCTGTGGCTGAAGCGCCGGCTAACGCAGCCGGGTTAGGGGGGCACATCAGGTGAAGGGGAACGTCAGTCAGGGATGTGACAGGGCAGGACCCGCACGTCGGAAGGGTCCCCGCGGGCGGGGAGGCCAGGCTGGGCGGGGGCTGCGGCCGAGACCAGGGAGAGGAGGAGAAACCTGGGGAGGCGAAGAAAGCGGAGAGGCCACTGCCCAGTGGCAACAGACAGCGGCAGCGGGTCAGCACCGGAGCCCCACGCCTCCACCCCCGGCGCCGCCAAGCGGCCCTACTTACCCCAGACGCGGGAGCGCCAGGGGCCGCCCCACCGCCGGGTCGCACTCTCCGAGGGGGCGCGACCACTTCAGAACCGGCAGACAGAGCGCAACGTGCAGCTCTACAACCTTCCCGCCCCCACTGCACTTCCGCCTCCTGATGACGTAACCCGGGGGAGCGGAAGTCCCGCCTCCCACCGGCCCCAACAGCCGCTGCCCACGGCGATTCGTACTTTTAACTGCCGCCTCAGCGCCGTGACAGCCAAGGAGGCTCATGGGAGATGCAGGCCGCACTTCGGGGGGACCGCGCCCGAGCGGGGCGCGGCGCCGTGACGTCTCTGCCGGCTCAGCTGCGCAGGGGCGGGGCGGAGACCGGCTGGGTCCCTAGCACCTTCTTTCTAGTCGCCCTCTGGTTGAGGCCGGAGAAAAGCCACCCCCGGCTGTCCCGCGACGGCGTGAGTCCTCCTGGTCTGGGACTGAGACGCAGCTGCGGCCGGGACTCGGAGCCTCGCTTTCAAACCCTAACCCCTATCTCGGGTTGCCGTCCACGCGCCCAAATCCCGGGAATATTTTCCTTATACAGAGTTTGCGTTATACACGTAAGAAAAGAACTAGACGTGGAGCAGTTTTTAGTACTGCTTAGTGATCCGCACTTAAGAAACGGCTGCGCACATCCCCGAACTCGGACACCTGACGCCTGATTCCAGCAAAGCTAGCCTTGTACGGGTGTCTTGGCCTGTTCCGTGGTCGTTAACCCGCTACGCATCTTTCCTGGAATCTGAGCGTACGTTGTTAATAATCGATGTTTTCTCGGTAGTAAATGTTTTTGCTGTACCGTTCTGCTGTGCATGGAGCCGAGACTAAAGCAGTAGCTCGGCCCGGCGTGGGCTGAGGAGGCGCTTCCCGCGCGTCAGCCGGGCCCGTCGGGACCCGCGTGAGGCGGAGGGTGAGTCACTTCATGCCAAGCAGCGGGCAGTTTCGCGGGACTGACGGGCGCCAGACGCTAAGGCCCAGCTGCTTCCCTCACGCGCCGCTTCTGCGGCGGGGGAAGGGATCCCTCTGCGACCAGCTCTCGCTGACCAGCGTAGATATGAAGTTATAAAGCTACAGAGGGCAGCACCGCGCTCCGGTGCGGGTCAGGGCCCCTTCTCAGCCGCAGGCGTTTTGATTCCCGGTGTGACTGAAAAGGGTGCCGGGGATCTACCTGCTGAGGGAGCCTGAGGAGAGCCTTTTGGCTCTCGGCTGCCTGACTAGACAGCACAGAGACTGGGGCATAAGAAAGCTCCAAACTAAGTCCTTGATGGACTTTCTGAACAAAGCTTTTTTAAGGAGAAAGGAGGGAAAAAGTTCTACCCCCGGAACATTCTGCAATTTCCTGGCAAGTTCAGCCTCCCAGGGTTCGGGGAACATTATCGGAAGAAAGATAATTTAACTTGCTGCTAATCGTTCTGCCCTTTACTTGGTGAGTGTTAGCCCTTGAACCCCTCTATCTTCTTCTTGAGAGATTTTGTAACTTATGCCTCACAAGAATTTTAACATATTGGTTAATAGTAGGTCAGTTTACTTGAGTTCAAATTCCATCGCTGACATTTTTTTTTTTAATGTTTTTTATTTTTATTTTTTAGAGACAGAGGAAGGGAGAGGGAGAGACAGAAACATCCATGACAGAGGAACACCGATTGGCTGCCTCCTGCACACCCCCTGCTGGGGGTCAAGCCTGAAATCAGGCTTGTGCCTTGACCTGGAATCAGACCTCTTGGTGCGTGGGAGACACTCAACCACTGGAGCAACACCAGCCCGACTCAGCTCTGACATTCAATGATTGTGAGCCTTGTTTAACTTTTCGGTGCTTCCGTTCTATCATCTGTAGAAGGGAAATAAAAATAAATAAGTGACCACCTTATACCCATTAGATGGCTACTATTTAAAAAAATAATAATAACACAGAAAATAACAAGTGTTGGTGAAGATGTGGGGAAAATGGAACCCTTGTGCACTGTTGGTGGGAATGTAAGATAGTACAGCTGCTGTGGAAAACAGTATGGCAGTTACTCTAAAAATTAAAAATAGAATTACCATAAGATCCAGCAATTCCACTTCTGGGTATATATCCAAAAGAATTGAAAGCAGGGCCTTGAAGTGTTATTTGTACACCCATGTTCGTAGCAGCGATATTCACAACACCCAAGAGGTGGAAGCAACCAAGTGTTCATTGGCAGATGAATGAATAAAGAAAATGTGATTTTATATATATATATATATCACATTATTCAGCCTTGAAAAAGGACACTCTGACATGCTATAACATGCATGAACCTTGGGACATTATGCTAAGTGATATAAGCCAGTGACACACAAAAAGAGAAATACTGTGTGTGATATTGTGATTTATAAGAAATATTTATTTCTCATACATAATGGTCTTCACCACAATTCTTGGCTCACAGTTCCAGAAATGCTTGGGATTTCCCAAGGGTTGAAAGTGATAAAGGTGTTCTTTTGTTTTGTTCATAAGGTGGCTTTGGAAAGCACCCAAAGATGGGGACTGGTTGCCAGTGGAGTCAACCAAGTGATTATAGGGTGGGAACATTCAGTCTCACCCTGACCTCCTGGGGTGGGAAAGGAGCTGGAGATTGGATTCAGTCACCAGCGGCCAATGATTTAATCAGTCATGCTTATGTACTGAAGCCTTTATAGAAACCCTAAAGAGGGTGTTGGGAGAGCTTCCAAGTTGGGGAGCCAGAAGGCTTCCATGTGCCACAGTGTGGGCCCCAAGCACCATGAGGACAGAAGCTCCTTTGTGTGGGACCTCAGCCTACGTATCTCTTCATCTGGCTGCTGATTTGTATCCCTCGATATCTTTTGTATTAAATCAGTAATCTAGTGAGGAAACACATTTTTCCTGAGTTTTGTGAGCCATTTTAGCAAATTAATTGAACCCAAGGAGGGGACATTGGAAGATCCAATCTGTAGCCAGTTGGTCAGAAGCACAAGGAACCTGGGCTTGTGTCTGGCATCTGAAGGGTGTGTGTTAGGGGATAGGAAGGAATCTTGTAGGACTGACCCCTTAACCTGTGGAATCTGATGCTGTCTCCAGGTAGATAGTGTCCAAATTGAGGTGAATTCTTCAGTACCCTGCTGGTGCCTGAGAACTGCTTGTTGGTATGGGGGACCCCTCCACACACTTTGGAATTGGGTCCAGGAACTCTATTTACTGTGTAATTCCATTCATATGAAGTACTTGGAGTAGTCAAAATCAGAGAGACAGAAAGCAGATTGGTGGTTGCCAGGGGCTGGGGGGATGGGGAAAATGGAGAATTGTTTAATGAGTATAAAGTTTCAGTTTTACAAAATGAAAAGAGTTCTGGGGATAGATGGTGGTAATGGTAGATGCTATGAAAGATTTGTGTTTTACTGGATATCTTGGGACTTGGTCAGTAGGTCATAGTGCCTACCTGTCTACTAGGGGAAAGCCCAGGATAAAAGGAATGCGTGTTACAGTCCTGTGGCTCTGTTAAATGATAAGGAAATTCGGGGTAGCAGGGTGTGAATTACTTCATCCTGAAGCCATTATGATTATTATGGACCTTCAATATCAAAGTAAAGTTGACACTAGGTCCCAGTTTCCAACTGAAGCCACCCCAATCCTCTTTTGCTATTCTGTGATAAAATATTTATAGGAACAGCATTATGCTAGACAGCCTTTAAAATCAAGTGTGTCCCTGCCCGGTTTGGCTCAGTGGTTGGAGCATCAGCCCGTGGACTGAAGAGTCCCAGCTTCGATTCTGGCCAAGGGCATGTACCTCGGTTGCAGGCTTGATTCCCGGCCCCTGTTGGGGCATGTGGAAGATGCGACCAGTTGATGTGTCTCTCTCACATCAATGTTTCTCTCTCTCTCCCTTCCACTCTTCCATCTTTCCACTCTGTCTGGAAAGCAGTGGAGGTGGGGGGATCAAGTGTGTAGAGTCCTGGCCAGTGGCTCAGTTGGTTGGAGCACCATCCCATACACCAAAAGGTTGTGGGTTGGATTCACAGTTAGGACATGTACCTAGGTTGTGGGTTTGGTCCCCTGTCAGGGCGCCTATGGGAGGCTATGGGAGGCAACCAATAGATGTCTGTCTCTCTCTCCCCCCTTCCTCTCAATCTAAAAATCAATTTTAAAAAATCAAGTGTGTAGAAATTTGAGACAATTATTGTATTAGTTACCTATTGCTTGTAACAAATTGCCCCCAAAACTTCTCCTTTTGAAACAACATGCTGTATGTATTCTCTTAACAGTTTCTGAGGGGCTGGACTCCAGGCAGCGTAGATGACTTAGGACCTTCTGTGAGGTTGCAGTCAGGATGCCACCTGAAACTATATGGTGATTTGAAAGCTCAGCTGGATAGAAGGATCTGCTGTGGCTAATGGCAGGAGGCTTCAGTCCCTTACCATACAGGCCTTTCCATAGGGTTGTTTGTGATGTGGCAACTCACAGCCAGAGCAAGTGATACAAGAATTAAAGAGAGTGACCAAGATAGACGTCAGAGTGTCTTTTATAACCTGAGTTTGAATACTATTGATCACACAGAACAACCCTGATACAGTGTGGAGGGCACTGCAAGGCTGGGATCACTGGGGACTGTCTTAGTCCATTCAGGCTGCTATATAACAGAATACCATAGACTGGGCATCTTATATACACTGGAATTTTATTTCTCACAGTTCTGGAGGCTGGGAAGTCCAAGATCAAAGGGCCAGCATGATCGGGCTCTGGTGAGGCACACTTCCTAGTTCATAGATGGCTATCTCTTTTATAAGGGCACTAATTCCATTTATGAGAGCTCTGCCCCCTTGACCTAATCACCTGCCAGCCAGTACAAATTGAGACCCAGTGTGGAGTCAGGTCTCATCCACAGTTTGCAGGCCCAGTCTGTGTGGCACAGATGCCAAGGCACTAGGTCACTCTGCCTCTTTCACCGTAGAGGGAGGTAAAGAGGTGCCTCCTGTCGAATATAATCAAAAAGAATCTGGAGGCTTTGACCACAAATAAATGACAAAGATTTATTTATGGGTCTTAGAGTTTGCAAACAAAACACAGCTAGGCAGACCCACAAGTGTTCCACAGAACAAAGAAAGTTTTCATTTTTATAATGTAACTGAATCACAAG